TACGGGTGGAAATAATTATTGAGTTGTATTCTTACACCATTAAATTGGGTAAACATACAATAAAATAATTATGGTTGCCGTTGCTACTAAATAATTACTCCGGATTTATCATTAGCGTGTTAAAGTCGGAGTAGTTATTATTTAGGTGAACTGCGAGAGCGTCCCTGAATACTTTTCCGCAACTCCACACATTCTATATAAAAATAAATTGACAATCAAACTTTTATAAAAACATTGGACAATTAATTTACCAATTTCTACCCCTAACTTTTCAACATCAAAAACTTTGTGTTGTTTGGAACTCTCTTCTTTTACACTTTTTATTTTATCTCTAAAACCAAAAAGACCAAAATATTTTACAACTTCTTTTGTAAACTTTTGTTTAAATTAAATTAACTCGCGTCTCCCTGAGGTTCGACACCCTACTTACAAGGGATTCTTTTTAGTTGTTATTTTTGCCCGTTTTATACTGCAAATCAACTTGGCGCCGTTGCCGGGGAGACGGTTTGAGTTTTTTTTATTTTAAACATAAGTTTTATTGTTTATTTTTTGTAAATATTTATTATTATTTTGTTTTCCCTAACCTCTTCTCACTACGATTTAAAATGATTTAAACAAATCACTTTTTCAGATTAACGGAAATTTTAATTTATTTATACGAGTATTTTTTAGATTATTAGATATAATTAAATATTTTTATAACCTCTTATTTTAAACTCCCTTCATTTTCAAAACACTTCTTCTTACATTATTTTACCAAAATACTTCCACTTTATATTAAAAAACTACATTTATTCTGTTAATTCTTAACTTACCTATCACATAACATTTTTTTACTTATAATCTAGCTATTACATCAAAGACAAAATTGGAAAATAAATTTCAAATTACACTCCTTATTCAAAATAGAAACCATTTTAGTGAACGGAAGGAGTACTTTTTTTGATGTAGTCTATCAAATATATACTTGTCATTTATATTTTTACTCATATTAAAATATATAAATAAATAACATGATCTAATTTAAAATTTTTAAATTTTGTCTTCGCAAAATATAGTACTCCGATCCCTCCGTCCTGTAAAATTTTTCTCTTTTCTTTTTTTATCCGTCCCAAAAAACTTTTCTCATTTTTATTAAAAAGTCACTTTTACCTCTACTAATTACTCCCTCCGTCCCCCTGTATTTGTCCACTTTCATTTTTGCACACCATCCAATGCACTTCTTTAATCTATTTTATCTTGTAATTTGTATATTAAAAAATTATAAAAATTATATATTAATAATCTATATGTTAAGACAAGATCACACATGACTATATTTAGGCTTACACATTGAGAGAATTTGATGAGTCAAAGTGCTTAGATGAACAGTTCCAAAAGTCAAATGTGGACAAATACAGGGGGACGGAGGGAGTATTAATCTACCTATCACATCACACTTTTTCCACTACTAATCTACTATCATATCTATTTTTACTTATTACATCCATGTGCATTTCTGAAAATTCAACACTAAAATACACTTGTCTTAAATCTCTTAAAAATGAAAACAAGAAATGTTTTGTGGGACAGAGGGAGTAATTAATACTCCCTCCGTCCGCAAATGTTCTTCACATTTGACTTTTATTGGTCAAAGTTTATAATGCATTGTATTATGATGTAAATTTGATATCAATATATTCATAATAAAATGTAATAAAATGTAGTTTTCAAATATCAAATTTTTATAAAATATATCTATGTATAAATATAGATATTAATGATCAAAGTGTAATATTAGAGACCGTGAAAAGTCAAATGCGAAGAACATTTCCGGACGGAGGGAGTACTCGGGTATTTCTTATCTTTAATTGACTCCCACGGTACCCCTCCCCGTCCCTTGTTATGTTAATTACAACAACCGTGGAGTCAAACATTAGCGGAAATATTGTAAAGGGGACCAAATCCGATATTTTCTGAGCTAGTAATTAAATTTTAATTATATTTTCGAGCGCGGAGCAAGCTTAATTTTTGGGCTGGTCTTTTTTTAATTGTTTGAGAGAGAGAGAGAGAGAGAGAGCTAGGGCTCTTATAATAACTGTAATAAATTACCCAGGTAGGTAATTAAGAAGGATAAAAGTGTTAATGCATTTCGTTTAAGCCATGACATGGTGTTTAATTTTCACGTACATGAGCCTAGAGAAATTAGTTAAGGAATTTGAGTGAGCTTCCGACCAAATCCGTAGTAGTTTGGAGATGAGAAGTTAAAGGTGATCATGCTAGCTTAATTCATTTAGGTTAATTATTTTTTAAAAAAGGGCAAGTAGATAGGAATAACAAAACTAAAGAGAAATGGATGAATAAGAATACTTTGCCTTGTGTTCAAAGTACCCAATCATAGCAAGATGACGGTGCCAAAGCAAGAAAGATTGACCGATGACCGATCCGATCGATTTTTGAACAATATAATGATCGAGGGAGAAGATCTAGCAGCAGGACGGACCTGTAAGTGCACGTAGTTTGCAGAAAAATTAATGATACAGCGGTTAAATAATTAAACAGAAATTAACGGAGTAATTAATTATTATTATTATTATTATTATTATTATTATTATTATTATTATTATTATTATTACCTGGCCAGTAGCTAGGTCACAAGCTAAGAGAGATGGCCGGCCAGGGAGGAATATGGATTTGTTTATTTTCTGCTGCTTGAAATGGCGTGCAACAAACAAAGCTGGCTAACTGGATAATTATAATTATATATATGAAGATATGAGTATTTATCTAGCTATCTTAATTAGCTTCTCCCAGAAATTAATTAAAGATGAGAAGGAATATATAACAACATGCAAAGATCAGAGGGCTGCACATACACTGAGTTGAGTTTGATCCAGATGATGAAATGAAGCTGCTAGCTAAGTGATCTGATGATGATGATGATGATATATACAAAAAATGGCCGGCTAGGGTTAATTATTGGCTGGCTGGAGAAACAGCTAGCTAGAGATATGATCTGGGCATCATGTACATGTAAATATAGGACTGCCTGAGGAGATATTGTGGGAGATGGGATCATGGTTTACAACCTTAAATATAGAAAAAGCTAAGATAAAAAATAAAAAAAAAACTAACAGAGCAGTAGTCCGTACGACAGTAACATTATAATTATAACATGGCTCACTGATCCTGATTCCTGACTGCAGTTGGTCGTCGTTACACATCCACCTCCATCATATACGTAAAATGGCCGGCCGGCTAGGGTTATTATATTGGCTGAAGAAGCATGCCGCAGCTACAGACATTAGGGCATATACACACACATACATACATACATACATATATATATAAGAGAGAAAAAATATCAGAGATTCAGAGTACTCCGTACGTACAAGAGTAACATGGCACACTGATCTGGTCGTTACACACCTCCATCATATACAAACAACGCTTTCTCATCATATATATATGTATATGTATATGAAATTAAACATTTACTTAGGAGCTGAGCCCCACTAAGGTCGTCCTCAATTCATCATAACTATGGTCAAAACTTTTAAACCACCGTCACTACATTTTAAATCGTTCAAAAAGAAAAATAATTCCACAAAAAGTTGAACCCAACCGGAGAATTACATGTGGAGAAAATCTTGAGTCAAAATATACCCGGGTTGGAAAATCTGGTTCTGTATATACTTCCTCCGTTTCTTAAAACCCTTCCTCTTTCATTTTTTTTTGTTTTTCTTAAAACACTTCCCTTTTCTATTAAAAAACAACTTCTACCCCTACTTTTTCATACTCTACCTATCACATCATACTTTTTCAATAACAACTAAACTATCACATCTTACTTTTACCCATCACATCAAGGGCAAAATTGGAAAGTCAACTACAATTTAACACTTCCTTATTTTCCCGCAAAGTCAAAAGAGGAACTCTTTTGAGAAACAGAGGGAGTATTAAAATTGATCGAGTCAATAATAGCACTCAAATTTTTTTAATAAATTAATTTATGTACATTCTTTCATTAAGTAATTAATTTACCTTGAAAATCTAGTTAAAAGTTTTTTTTTGTACGAATTGTATTCCGCTTATGTTTTAATTTTTATAGATTACTCCGTAATTTGCAAACATTAATAATAATAATAATAATGATAATGATAATGATAATAACAACTACAATAATACTACCTCCGTCCCACTGTCTTTGTCCACATTTGACTTTTGGAACTGTTCATCTAAGCACTTTGACTCATCAAATTCTCTCAATGTGTAAGCCTAAAAATAGTCATGTGTGATCTTATTTGATTCGTCTTAACATATAGATTATTAATATATAATTTCTATAATTTTTTAATATACAAATTACAAGATAAAATGGATTAAAGAAGTGTATTGGATGGTGTGCCAAAAGATAAGTGAACAAAGACAGTAGGACGAATGGAGTAGTAAAATCTCCCACAAAGTGATATTGATATTGATAACTCTTTCTAGTTTTTTCACCTCCTAATTTTTTTGTAACATTTAATTATGAAGCTCTAACCCAAAATTAAAATAATTAATACTCCTTCTAGTTGGAGCTAAATCACTCTATCAAATACCCCTTTTTCTATAAGATTTTTACAGTTTGACTTTTTTGGTCATAAGTTTCATGTAGTTTAAAAGAGTTTAAAATAATTAAATAGTTTAAAATTTTGATATTTTAAAACTTTATTTTAAAATAAACTAAAGTTTACTAAATTTTTATTGTAACTAAATATACTTTTTAGTCAATGTTTGTATGGTGAGAACTGAGAAGTTGGCCAAAAAGAAAATGTGAAATAAGAAAACACTTTTTCGAATACACTTTCTCTTGTTTGTTTACATTAGAAAAATAAGAGAGGAAAGAAAAAGTGAGTTGGTCCAAATTGAAAATTTTTCTCATCGTATGTGTTGAGAAAAGTAAATTAGGGGGGGG